AATGGATGGATGCCGCTCCCTGAGCCTGGCTGGAGTTTTTTCCTGTTAAAAGGGAGTTTTTCATTTCCACTGTCAGAGTGGTCGCTCACAGATGTATGACAGTTTGTTTATAACAAAAAAATGCCCTCCATAACTCGAAATTTGGAGAAAATAACTTCAAATTTCAAGTAATGGTTGGCAGTTTTATTTTTTCAGTGGTGGAATCAAGCTTCTGTACATGGGGGATCAGTTGATTGTTGGTTGGTTGTCTCTCTAACACTGTAGGGTCTCTGTCGTGCAATGTAAAGCACCTTGAGCTGACCGTTGTTGTGAATGTATAGAAATTGTACTGCATGTCCCTGTTTTTGAAGTTAGCAGTAGCAAAGTCAAAATGACTATTTTTTTTAAACCTTAAAAATTATTATTTTTAAAGTTTTTATTTCAGTGTTTCATTGCACTTTAAATATAAATTTGAAGTGTTCTGATTTCATTTATATTTTATGTGCAGTGCAGAAGAATGTTTTTTCTCGACACATTTTGTTCTCATTTTTCTCTGTGCTCTTTTTGAACTCCCCGTCAAACTTTAAGGGTTGTCCAGTCTTCAGATTTCTGCCATAGCGGAGGAACTGGCCCGTAAGACTGAAGACGCATCACGACAGCAAGAAGAGATCACACACCTCCTCTCTCAGATAGTAGATCTGCAAAAGAAAGCCAAATCTGTGAGTATATAAGCACACAGGTATATACTTTGACTGGTTATATTTTTACTGGTCTTGTCCTGTTTAGCTGTTTGCTCAGTCAAAGCTGCATTTGTATGTCTAGTATGCAGTGGAAAATGAGGAGCTCTCTCAACACCTGCTGGCAGCTAAAGATGCCCAAAGGCAGCTCACAGCAGAGGTAACTTCTCTTTGCTTTCCAAGCTTGTCCCCAATCACAGCTTGTTCCCTAAATACTGTGAATGTGAGTTTAATTGCTGTGTTTACAATACAACAGCTCCAGGAGTTAGAAGAGAAGTACTCAGAGTGCATTGAGATGTTGCATGAAGCTCAGGAGGAGCTGAAGAACCTGAGAAACAGAAACTACCCTGCAGGAACCCCACGCCGCTATCACCCGCTGGGACTGTACCCGATGGTGAGTTACTGTAAAAGTGTGTGTGCCTCTCTTTGCTTGTAGGCATTGTCTTCCCCTCTTAAAAGTTTATATGTTGCAGGACTCTCTGGCAGCTGAGATTGAGGGAACGATGAGGAAGGAGCTGAGTCTTGATGACCCAGAGTGTGAAGAACAGAAGTAGGTATTCATGCATGCATACTAGATGCCAATTTCCAAACATGGGAACAGGTTTGGGAATTGTTTGATCAAAAGAGTTGGCAATAAGTAATGGACAGACAGTAGAAATAGCCAAAATAAATATACTACGGTGAAAAGTAAATGCATAAGTAATTGTCAAAAAAAGTGATAAACTAGCCAGCATAGCTCACTAAAAGTCTTTTCAAAACTTTTTCTAAAAGTATACATAAGCAGTAGCGGTTTTTGATACAGGCGACACGGGCGGTTGCCCGGGGCGGCATCATGGTGGGGGGCGTACTCACGCTGCCCCGACATCACCCAGCGCATATTGGGAATGGCATAAGCACCGATCGGTTTTCTATCGCCCATTTGCTGGGAGTAAGGGCGCCCTCCGTTATGCATTTACTTTTCACCGTAGTATATTTATTTTGGCTATTTCTACTGTCTGTCCATTACTTATTGCCAACTCTTTTGATCAAGGAAGGAGAGGGCGGGGCGGCGGGGGATTCTCTGGCTGGCTGGAGCAGCATCTAATAACCAACTTGCAAAATAAAACAAAATAAAAACAAAACAACAAACACGAAAACAACAGACATTATGATACAGACTTATAATATGCACCGATGTTTTTTCGAAATTCTATAAAGTGAGCGCGAGAGCCCTCGGTGCGCCTGCTTGCTGCTGAAGTCAAAGTAAACTTTGTCATCTCCGCTACATACAGTCCAGTATATAGAGAGACGAGCCGACGAGGCTCCAGTTACAGCAGTGCAAGTAAACAAACAATATATATAAGAAGAGTAAGAAAATAAATATACACTTTAGGACCAGGGGTAAAGGGATCAGTAACAATTTAAAATTTATAATTTACAGTTTGATGATTTAAAGTCTCACACACAACCCGTCGAAAGGGGAGGGGGGCCCTGCTGCTTCCAAATAGAGCACATTTCATTCGTAATATTGTAAATCCAAGCCCCTTATCTATTCATGATTTGAATCCTGGGTTGTGCGAAATCCAGAGGGAGTGTTCGCCCGGGGCGCCAAACAGGCTAGCACCGCCACTGTACATAAGCATAGTATCTAGTCAAAGTTATGAATACAGTGTATAGGAGAGGAATGTAACCACTGTGACCTCACCTACTGAATTTGAACTTTTGGAAATGTTTAGCTTTAGCATTAGCATTGTAGCCACTGTCATGTTCTTTTTTAGAAGCCTGAAGTTACCATGTCTGGATTAACAGGTGGCGTATTAAATTATCAGCTAATGCTAGCAGACTTTTATTTAGCAAGCTGTATAGCTAAAATACACAGACACTGTTAATTTGTGCTAAATACCAGATCTGATACAAGAGGAGAGGATTAGCTAAACTGCTAAATATCATTCTAGCTAAAATTGCTAGCTATAATAGTTAAATTGTTAAAAAAATAGTAACAAAACCTAATGAATACACTTATAATAAAGTAGTAGCTTAAACTAGGAAAAGACTGGTTAAAATGTAAAGTGTAATGAAATGAAGTATAACTGATGAATGGTAATCATACAGAAATTGCTTATTAAATCGCTAATAATGGACACTACTGTCTATTAGCTGTCATGAAGTTCTGTGAAAAACTAAGCACACCATGTTAAAAAGGTAAGTTGCAGCCAGGTGCTTATAATCAAATGCACTTGATTAACTGATCATCAGCAAGTGTGGGTATCTCTCTTTTGGCAGTTTCCTGGTCTGTAGCATTCGGGTATGTGTTAACATAGTACTACAGTCTTACTAGTTGTGGGCGTCCAAAAAAAATCACCCAAAATTCAAACCATGCAATGCTTAAGAAACTGCACAAAAATCGAAAGCTACTTCTTGGACTCCACTGCTTTCTGGAGACTTCTGGTCATAATTCACAGCCATCTGTCTGACAGCTAAATCTTAGCATTAGTGACAATGATCCCAAGCACAGCAACAACTGTTCAAAAGCATGAAAAAGAAAAGAATCAAGGTTTTGTAATGATCCAGTCAATGTCCAGACCTCAACTCTACTGAGTTATGTTGCAAGACCTTAAGAGACCTGTGCACAAATGAATGCCTGGAAACCTCAATAAACTGAAGCAACATTGTAAAGAAGAGTGGACAAAAATTCCTCCACAACAATGTGAGAGATGGCTTAAGTCATAGAGAAAACAATCGCTTCAGGTTATTACTGATGGTTCTATAAGCTACATGGAGTATTAGTTTTTCACAGAACTCCATAGTGTCACAAGAAAACTTTCTTTTTCACACGGCCATGGTGGATGGTGTTCTTCACTCTGATTGTTAGTCGTTTTAAACACTCGACTTAAAGTTGGGATTTGTGTAATATTAAGAGTTCAAATAAATGTAACCTTGGTGAAGCGTTCTTGAGTCCATCTTTGGGAGTAACTTAGGTAAAAAGGTTTGTGAACCACTGTTGAAGAGCATCAGTATAATACTCCTATGTTTGACTGTGTGCAGGGTCCATCGGAAACGTGTATTTGAGACGGTCAAAAATGTTAACCAGACAGTTCGTCAGCGTTCTCTGACTCCAACCAACTCCAACATCCCGGGTTCTAACCAGTCCCTGTCAGCTCGAACGTCACCCCAATCGAGTGGTCTCTCCACACCCCACTCCAGCATATTTGGAGGTGACCTTAGTGGAGAAAGTGTAGCCCTTGATAACCGAACGCAGAGCATCCTAATGGAGACAGCAGCCAATCAGGACAGGTAAGACCGAGATAAGCTGCTGTCATCTGCATGAATCAAACTCAGTTTTCTCAAGAATGATTTTATTTTAAAACATTTGATTGATTTTTGTTTTAACCCTGCTCTGTCAACAGCACAGAGGGCCAGGAGAAGAAGGCAAGTGGGGCAGAGGACTTGCGGCTTGCTCTGCGTCGCCTGTCTTTGCGCCGACAAAACAATTTAAGTGAAAGGCGCTTCTTTGAAGAGGAGCGAGAGCGACGGCGGGGAGGGCACCCTGGACTCCACGATGCCCTCAGCCAGGAGAGTCTCTTAACCCCATCCGAAAGCATCATGTCCCTCGGAAACCTCCACCTCTGGGCCTCGCGAGGGCCCTACCTCCCCGACAAGCTTCAGATCGTCAAACCACTCGAAGGTGAGGTAGAAAGGGAGCACGGAACGAACGGCAAGGCAGGGAGGAACCTGGAAGGAGAGAGGCACCGAGGGGCCGGGGCAAAAAAAGGGAGCAGGCAGGGCTGGGGAACAGAGGGGGAGAGGAGGCAAGATGGCAGTCAAGGGGAAAGGGAGAGAGTGTGGGGATGGACGAGGAAGACTGGAGCTGGAATAGAGAGGGAGAGGGGAAGGAGGTGGGCTAGAGACCGAGCCGGCAGCAAGAAGATGAGGAGTGCGCAAGAGTGGACAGAGAGGCCCCTGTCTCTGATGCTCTTCAACTCTTTCTGGTCTCTGATGCATCATCACAAGTCTGGCAGCTTTGCATCTCCACACAGCTATTACAAAGAAACCCAGCCCAGAGGGTGGCTTTGAGCACTCATGCACTACACGGAGGAAGTAAGACGGAGTCTATCCAAATCTCTGGCTGCTGCTCATGAACTGATCGGGGGCTAAAAGGGGAAACAGGCAGACCTTAGGTCTATACAGTGTGATAGAGTCACAGTAGTATTCAGTCAGCATGTACAATTAAGGAGCTGGTGTCTTAGATTTAACCTTAAAGAAGATTATGCTCATTTCCAGATCAGTGCCAAATATTTATTACTGGACTCTGTGCTAGATTAGTTTTATATGATTC